TAAACAGTTGTACTTATTGGACGTAACATAGCATGTACAAAAAATTTAATCCCCACGCTGACATAAATTTATCCGTAAAACAATAAAGAAAAATGACACTTTCCGATGGAAAAGTCAAAACACTTATATGATTTATGTCAGACCAAACACAATTTAACACATTAACCATTATGTCGTAGTAATTATCACTACATTTTCGATATCAATCTTCTCTGCAATCGAAACTATCCATTTTAAAAAGATTGCCAAATATTAAAGAGTTTCAGTGACACACTTCTGTATATTCACTATATTGCACACTATTTTTTAGCTAGTAATAACTTTCCGTAATTGTTTTAATTGTTCTGAACATTGGGATTCAAAACTTCTTTCGAAAGTCTTTGTTGTTTTCCTAAGCTTTATTTCGCAAACAAGGTTACACCACATTATATGCTTCACACTAGCACTGCTCAAGCAAGGCTTTAGTAAATTTGTCGTCAAAAGAACTGGTAATCAAGTAAGGCAAAATTGTTTAACTTCGGATGAATGATAACTAAAGCAATTAGGAACAATAAATCCTGAAAAAATTATAGACCATCAACAATTATGGTGATATTTGTGCGTTTGCTCATCATCAAATGAGTCTTTTCAAGGACATAAAATTGGTGACGATGCGTATAAGAAAAAACCGGAAAAAAGAGGAAATCCTCGGAAGAAATTTCAAGAATAAAAGAGAAAATCCTTTTAAAAGAATAGAAGAGAAGCAAAAAAAAAAATACATCATAACAGTAATGACGATAGAAGTGAGAGGAAGTTTATATTTTTGGGAAAAGAGAACGGATATCAGCCCTTTTTTCAAATTTGAGTGGAAGAACGCCCTTGCGGGAAAAGCAAAAAAGGAAGGAAGGAAGACAGATTCTTTTGTCATTGAAAGAAATACATCAATGTTCATCTCATACTGATATAAAATAAAATGACATTAAGAATGGAAGACACAGTAACTATACCCAGCAGTACTAGTAGCTAGAAATTAGAATAGTACAAATGTTAACGATGGAGATAGATGTAATAATTTTAACGATTGACGATTATGGTAGTAATGAAAAGTGTAAAATTATAAAAAGAGCTGCTAAATAATAACTCCTCCATATGAAGATGGAGTAAGCGGCATTCGGAATCAGGAAATAAACTCCCATAAATATTCCTTTTCATTATTCATTTTTTCTTGGTTTGTTGGCTGTTTGTCGGCCGTTCAACAATGACCATTTTATGAGTTTCCCCAGAGGTACTACTACTAGTCGATGATGATGGTGAAAAAGACTTCTACATTTGTTCGACTCTCCTAATAATAATATGTCCCATAAGCTTTCATATCGCTCAATCGTTTGTAATTTTTGCATTCAAATGAAGTGTTCATGTCAGATTTGGGGATGGAAATTAAAATTATAAATAGGGAGAAAGGGATTTTTATTCAGTAGGAGAAACTTTTTCTAGATTTTTCAGTGGGATGAAATATTAGCACATTTCTTAGAAAAAATAAAATCAAAGATGATTGTACTCTATTTTCTATACGTTTCTGAGAAAGCAGTGGGATTTAGCAAGCAAAGGTTGTTCTAGGCAAAATGTTATTAGCAAATACTATTCTTGCAAGAAGTAAATGTATGTTTATATCTGTAAAGCTTAGCATGGCAAAAAACAATTCAGTTTAAAGCTTTCCAAAGTAAGTATAATGTAAACTAAACTCTGAGTGAAACGGATAACAAGAAAAATGACAATGTCTTCTCATTTACTTAACTTTAAATGTCATAAAAACTACTGAATAAATATCAGTCGTTTTGATGATAGTGCGAATGTCTCTATTGAATTAAATCGATATGAAAGACACTGAGTTGATCTGAAATAATGATTATTATCATCAACTGAATGATGCCTTTTGTACAGTATTCCTTGGTGGTACAAGAAAAAAGTCCCAAATGACTGTATTTTTATTGATATTTACATTTATAATAGATTATGTAACTCCAATTTTTCGAAAATTCAAAATTTTAAAAGTTAAAATGAGCTACAATCACAGCTGGGAAGAAGGAAGATTAACGTAGCACCACAATGACCTTATTTATCACTCACAGTTTCTTTGTTCAATTTTTATTGGAAACCGCGATACTGCCTTTTTCTTCATATTGCATGAACATCCTAATTATTCATTTTGGAAATAAACAGCTGGTTCATTATCAAATTATATGCAGAATGAATAACATTTGGAGAATTATTTAGAGATGAATTTCATTGAATGTTATTTCATATGAAATTAATTAAAATTCATTTGCTTGAAATTTAACCGTGAATTCAGCACGATTTTATTGCACGGTCAATCGTATTGAAGTTTCAATTGATAATTTAAAAGCTTACATGCTGATAAGTATAAACGAATACTTTATTATTTCATCAAATAGAATTGCTGTCTAACCGATTTCTCAGTTAGATTTTAAGTAGTCAAAGTTTCATTTCATTCAACAAGTGACTTTAAAAATTTCATTTAATTCAACATCAGCAGGAATCAGTGTCGCATTTCAGCATCATTGTAATACTGAAGATTTATTCTGCAAGTGTAGAACAAGTTATATTTTTTACATTTTGTATCAACGGAGAGCGAAAAGTATCATAATTTTATTGTTCAGCGGTAATATGAAATGAAGGTAATTGAAAATTGTAAAATCACCCATCAAAAATCGGTTAGTATTTCCAGATCCCGGTACATTTCGCGGTATTTTGCTACTTTAAATCGATAGTAAATACGTTCAACATTTAATCAATGCCACTATATAAAGATTAAGCTACACGGATTCAAATTATATTTGTGCAATTTTGTCACTTCAATTAGCTTACATTCTGTATGAACATGATAAAGTTAATTTAAGCTGCGCACTGCTAAGAAAATTTGCAATGTCACAATTGCAAATCCTCTTATCACACAGACTTCAAAAAAATAATAACATAAGGCTAATACGCATCTTTATAGCAATATCAAACCTCTACACCCACAAGAACTGAACTTTTATGTTATCAATAAAAGGGTCTTAAGAGAAATTAGAAAAATAAATATATGTCTGAAAGACCTAAAAAATGATAAAAGGTAAAAGAAACTGAAAATGAATAGTAAGTAAAAATATTGATAGAACAAAAGTAAAAGAAAATAAAAGAAATAATAACAACTAGAAATTATTAATCCAAAAAAGAAATATTGGTATTAACCATTTGTACAAGTACTACTTCTTGCAGCAAAAAACGATGGTCTAATTTTCCGAACAATTTCTTTCTGATTTTCTGGTACTGTTTTGATGTCACATTCCATTCCATTTCAAGTTTTATCTCAGCTTCTGGATCTACACATCCAGAACACTAATAGAAACTCCCAGCAGGACATTATCACATGCATCCAAAAATAACTTGAAAAAATTTCATCTGATCCAGAAGGACGCTGACTCAATTCAATATGAACATTGTAACAACTTTAAAACACTTTTTGTAATTGAAGTATGAAGTATGAATAATAGTAAACGGCAATGATTTTCAATCATTCCATGCAATTCTGATATTCCAATATTGAAGACTTTGATTCGTTGAGAACTGAAAACATATAACGCACAGAGATGAATTTCTGTTCAAGTAGCTTCTCAAAACAAAAGTTGCCAATTTTTAATGCTGCAAATTCCTAATATTGCGAAACTCTAAAATATTATTTAAAAAAAAAGTGTCGGATGACCCTTTTGCACATTGTTTCCAATGTGATGTTTATATCTGACATTAAATTGATATTATTATTTTATAACGACCTTTGAAGCCTAACAAAGAATTCACCACGACCACTCCCACTTTAACATTATATATACATGTCATGGAAACACACGAGACAGTTTAACTTATGAAAGGGATTTTCACTAACTTGTACTTCGATTCTTCTTTATGAAATTTATTATACTGTTGTTTCTATTGACAAAGGAATTATTATTCTTACGTTACCCCACACTATCAACATCAAACGAATCTCACTGAGATCAGGAAAGAAACAAAACCTGTCCAAGGAAAATTGTTAACCTTCCTTAGTTTCAGTAGCGCAGACATTTGAATATATTGAAGCATATTGACGGAAAATGACCAAATAAAAATATGTGAATATGAGCTGCTATGTCAAGTATCGAAATAACGATTTTCTGCAGATCGGTTAAAACAATGCAATAACGTCTTTAAAAATCACAGGAAAATATTAGACACTGGCACCATTTTATCATATTTGCTTTTTCTTGACATATCTTAACACACAATGTTTGTGTAAGAATGTATCAAACAAAAGATAGGACTAACAGTAACTGCAATTATCCTTGGTCAGGATATTTTCGAGTTTCAATATCTTAGATCACTTCGTGGACTACATGATACATTTTTGAAAGATTGGTGCTACAATGAATTTTTCAGTCGGTGTGTTGTTAAGAGGTATATTACAAATATAACATACTGCTGGCCAACCATTTCTAATTTCAAACATGTAAGTTCATCAGTTATAAGCTAGCTTTTCAAGGTACTCGTCAAGTCGTTGTGATCCCAATTCTTTGATTTTTAGATTCCTACGTGTTCAGTACAATCTTCAGCAAAAATTACCTCTATTTTCTATCGCAAAAATTAGTAGCTTTTGTGGCCATGGCCACCATTTCCCGATAATAACGATAATTTACTGATTAACATCTTTGATTGCAAGAAAGGCAACTGCAATTTTGAATTTTGTTATTTGATACAAAATATGACTATGATTTTAATGCTCATTTATTTGCATCATGTTTTCTTGTTAATAACTTCTGCTGTTTACTGTTGGAGTAATTTTAGGAATGAAAGCAAATTGTAGTGAATTTTTGTTTATAAGCTGAAAGAACTCGTAATAACAATGAGACCTGTGGTCATAAAGTTTTGCGAAGGAACCGAGGAATTTGAAAACAAAAGAAGTTGTGACTGGTCGTCTGGGGTGAACAATGAATGACCAATTAGGAGCAATCATGGAGCTGATCTTCTTATGTACACGTAAGATTGCTGAAAAGCTCAATGTCACCACTCTACAATCCGTCACTTGGTACTTTAACGCAGAAGCAGGACAGGTGGTTCATTTCATGAAGTGACTGCTAATTAGAAAAAAATCGTTGCTTTGAATTGTCTCTTTTATTCCGAGAAATCACAATAAAGCATTTCTCAATCGGACTGTACTGTGGAACGAAAAGGAAAAAGCAGTAAAGCAGTTCACAGGACCCAAATTGTGCCCAAAAAACTAAGCTTACTAAGTCCTGGGGATAATTTTACTCGAAAACTATACTGAACACGTTGATGAAATGTACCTAAAAGTGTGACCAGTGTCAATCAACAACAAAGAGTTCAATTCTTCAAAACAGGACTCTATATTAAATAACCAGCATTCCAGAAGTTGGACGAATTGTGCAGTGAAGTTTCGTCTCATTCGCAATATTTGTCACAATCGGACTTCCCACCGATCATTGTCTTCTCCTAAACCATATTAATGACTTCTCGAAGGGGAAATAATTCTACATTAGTGGGAATGATCTTTTCAAGTGTCCATCAAATCCTGAAACTCGGCTTTCTACACCGCAAAAATAAACTGAAACAAAATAGCTCGATTGTTATGCTTCCTATTTTGGCTAACAAAAATGCTTTTAACCTTGGCTGTAATTAAATGAAAATTGTGTAACTCAAAAGCATATCTTCCGCATCAATCGTGAAATGGTTGGATTTAACTTAGTAAATAAACTTGGTATAATACGAAAAAGAAAACTTATGTGCGTTGAATCGAATTGCATGGCATATTGGATTATTTTATTGTTAACATCACAAATAACCAAATATAGAATTACGATTTAGAAATATAGGATAAGATAGTGCAGTGATCTGGAGATGAAGTGGTGTAGTAGCAGTGATCTGGAGAGAGGAGACAATTTAAGTTTTTGTTAATGAACCGAAACGCTTAACTAGGATATTTGTATACTGTAAACAAGTGGGAGTGGGATGGGCTACAAGAAATACAAGATTGGAATATGTGTAGATATCTAAAACAGTAGACAAGATTGGTACAAAATATAAAGGTTTCTTTGCATGATTAGCGACCAGATATCTGATTTAGATTATTAATGAATTGAAATGCTTAACTAAAATTTACATGTTATACATCTTTTTACATTATATTGGATTTATATTGGACATGTAAATTTACATTATATTGGATTTACATTAACAGGTTTAGCACTGAATATTGGAAAACATTGTAATTTGCATGATGTGATGAATCCTTTATGTAGGAAGTGGTTATACGAGAACTTTCACTGCCTTGACACATTATGATTTTCTTCAATTTCCCGACAGCATCAACTTAACAGGCAGTAATTTTATTGGATGGCATGGGCTTTTTTTCTCGAGAACTTAATATTGGTACTTAACTTGCAACCTCCCTCACTTCCCCACTTCTATATTCGTCAGTTTATACTACAAAAATATTAGGAAATTTACATCCAAAATAGGGAAAATACTGAGGAATTCCAAAACTTTGCAGACTCTACGCATTAATATATATTTAAGTACCATAAGTTAAAAAACTTTTTCTAGTGAGATTATTTTCTCTCATATTTGAAAATTATTACATTTAGATTCGGTGTTTCAAAAAATTTCTAATTTGATAGCATTTTTGGCAGTTAATCATTTCCGTTATTTCCAAACTAAATTGGTATGATTTCAAGTTCTTTATTTCCATTAATTATAAAGTTGAAGTCCTTCTTTTTCATTTATTTCCAGAAATTATAAAGGCAAGAAATTCCAAAAAGCTAAATTATCTAAAACAAGTAAGTCCATTTCCTAAACTTTTCTTCACAAATATTCAATATTTGATTTAAAAAAGTGAATATTATGCAAATCTTTCATATCTTTTAAAAATTTTACAATGATTCTGCAATAAGCGATGACCGCTTGAATTTACATTGCCTATTTCCGAGGAAAACAATTTCGCTGGTTTCATACGATAGATAAATAATACTGAGATTGGAACGACGAATTGTTCTCTAGTCAACAGAAACTCATGGTTTTATCCCAAATTTCCTTTGTATTGTATTCATAGTGATTTTCATATCTCAAAGTGAAAAATTTATGAATTAGCAAGATTGCAGCTTTACTATACTAAAAAGTTCATGTAAAACTAATAAATAAAAACAATGAATATGACAGAAACAGTAGAAGATATTGCATCTTCCAGCAAAAAATATGATTATCCTTCAGTCGTATCCAACATTTTTCGTAAACAGCCCAAACCAACTAAATTTGTACTACATCGAAGAAATCAGGCAGTTACTATAAACTGTATTTCGCGCTGGTAGAGTTTTTGTACTGGACGGAAATTCTTTTTCATTATTTGTCCTGTTTTGTCATGCAAACTTCGGAAGAGTGCAAGCTGAAAAGCAGAAGCATTACAGTGTTTCCGGAAAATGTTTAAATAGTTTCTTGGAAGCCTTCCAAGAATTATTTAAGAATGATTAAAGCGCAATCATAATTAGTAAGTACATCAATACTTATACAATAATTTATAAGAAATTTGTCTAAAGCAACTATCACTTCTGACGCTTTATTTCAGAATTAAATCCCTGACTTTTCTGACTTTTTGAAAATTCATTCAAATTAATATACTTACAGGAAGATAAAAACTCTCAATCATTTTAGAGAGAACGGAAAAGTAATAACTGTAGAATGTGACTGGGATATGATTTAAGTCAACAAATTAAGACAAAATTAAAATGCTGCATACTATTTTATAGAGCAATTATTCAATGACACGAACTAAAAATCAGTCATGAAAAAAAGAATAAAATGCCGCCCTATCGATACTTGCTACTCAAATTTCATAATGATGATTTTTGGTATGAAAACAAAAATAAAAGTCCATAAATAGGAAGAAAATTACGAAAAAAAAAAACAATGAAAAGAAAAAAGCACCTGAAATTTGGTGACAACAATGGGTTCAGTGAAAATTGTCCATGTAACAACTTCAGAGCATGGCGGCGTGGTCAAAGATCCCATATATCGCCAAAATGATTTTCTATTTTTTGGCAACTTATCATCCAAAAGGATTCCTTGTATTTGCTCACTTTGTGCTGCAAATAAGAATCGAAATTTTCTCAACAAATGTAATAATTGTAGAAGAATTAGAATTTTGAGCAGTTTTTAATAAATAATTTTTTCATAAGTTTCAAATAGATTTATCTTAAAGAGTTATTTATGTTTCAACTTTTAATAAAGAATAATACATTTTAAAATGCTTAACAAAATATCCAGTTTTGATAAGCAGTGGTTCATAGAACTAAGGAAATAGTCATAAGGGAAGTACTAATACGAGCAGTACCATCCAAAAAAGGTTGAATTCATTAAATAAGCTGACTCAAACTCTAAGCATAATTATGAATATGAATATGTGGAACAGTTCAAATGAAATTTGAAGCTTTGGATTCTTAAATCGAACCGTTTTTAGATCTTAACCTTGCTTCAGATTCATAAAGTGATATATTTCCTGCGATACTGGAGGATTCAAAAGTATTTGCAATCTATCTAGAGATCCAGAAATTATAGGAAATACCGCAAAAGAGAAATAAGGAGTGAAAGTGTTTCAAAAAATCCTAATAAGTCAAGAAATCAGTATTAGATGTTAGCAAACTGAAATATGACAGTAAGGAACTGCAAAACCCTAAAATAAAAAGAAATATTTGTCGAATGCAACAATGAGAAATTTAAAACTATGCAAACTCCGTACATTCTTTCGACACTCTCCCAAAATTCATTAAACTTTGAATGGATAAATTCCTTCTTTAACTAAGAATAGTAGCTATCAAGCAATTACCAATAATAATTAAAAGCTAACCTGGATCGATTATTTTATTGAGGACGCTGCATTCTTGAGATAAAGCGTTGTCATCATCACCAAGAACAAGGAAGACACCAACAACGGCTAGTTTGTTGGGGTTTGCAAGACCTTCATGCACAAGATGTAGCTCTGCCGGATAATGTAGGCCAGCTAAAGTGTGTTCGGAACCTAAAGAAAACATTTAGACGCATTTTTAATGCTGTTAACAATGTGACGGAAAAAAAGAGATGAGCTGGATTCGATCGATCTTCACATACGATTTCCGAGTTGCCCTTTTGAAAACTACGACACTACTAAAAAAGAGTGTAGAAGAGTGCAACTCATAGCTTAACTGAATCTCATCACAGCAGAAGTTTACCTAATACAACTTTCCCAACCCAAGTCAAGTAATTGGTTCAATTCGTTGACGAATAATGAAACGATCTGGATAAAATTATTGGGCCTACCTTCATTATCATGTAATCCCCAGTGGAAATGATACTGTACCAAACGATAAGTTTGGTCAAAACCGCCACCTCGAATTTCTGGCACATTACTTATACAGTGAGGTTTTACTTGCACTAAAAAATCATTACTTAGAAACAAAACAAAATTTCTTTTTTTGATAAAACTAACATGTAAAAAGATTTTTAAACTTGTAAATACTTCAAAAAAATCTTTCGAGGTAATTTGATTCTATAAATATGCTATTCCTGGTCTACTTCGCTTAAAAGACCAACTTAGTCAACAGTTCTATGTGTGTCTAATTTATACATTTAATTATGAAACAGAGATGAACAAGGAAGCAGTTTAATCACTGAAGATGAAGTATCCATACAGTTCAATGGCCCCATAGATAACAGATCTGTGTATCAAATAGAATCATATTACACTCTCCATTCAAGACATTACCTCTCAAACTTTCTATTTAATTACTTACCGATTTAGTCATGATTTCTAGTACTCCGTATGGCAGTCCAAGTTTCATACGTAAGATATAAAATATCTCAGCAATACCATAGGCAAGGAACGGCGTCAGTTCTGTCTTGAACGCCCTAATTCTTTATGAGATATCTGCTGTAATCAAATATCCCCCAGGAACAATAACACCAATTGCAAAAAGACGATCGGTTTTTATTCATTCAAAAAAAGAAAATTTGGAAAAAATTTACCAGAATGTCCGTTATTGACAATTTCACCTTTAAATTTCACATCATAATTCAGAAACTTAAGCGGTTCCATTGTATTATATTTCATCAGACATAAATCCAGATTTATTGGTGACTGATTACGACCATCAGCATTTGGCCAATATTTTGGTCATAGAATAATAGAAGGGTAGGATAATTAGAACAAAATAAAGAGAAACAGTGTATCTTCTAATTACATGACTGATCAATCGGAATATAAAAAGAATAAAGTTGTGAAAAAAGCAAAAAAGCAAAATTCGGGATTTATTGAAGAGTTCATTTCTAGAATTCGCTACTTTTCAGCATATTATAATTTTGAAGTTTACTTCTCTTTTCAAATCTGTGTTATAATTCTTAAGTGGTTGTTTTTGAATTCGTAGAATATTAGAAATCTTATAATATGAATGACAGTTCCGGAATCTGATAATATGTCGGCGAATCTTCTAATCCTTTGAAAAATTTTCTCTATTAATTAAAAATCTTATTTTCGTCAAAGCCTTATGGAATCAGAAAAAAATCATTAAAGAATTCATCACAAACTTGTAAAAAACTCACCACATTCACTCTCTTCGTTATAATCCCAATTCACTGAAATAAACTAATATTGTTTAAACAACAAACAAGAAATTCAAAAACCCGAATTTCTACCGAATAACTATAATCGTCCCAGTCAGGATTTATTTGAAATTCTATATGGACGCAAAAAATTTACAGGCATGAATTTACCATAAAGGCTTACTTGGACACATGAAGAGAAGAACTATAATGACAAATTGTGACACAAATTAGCGTCTCCTTTCTATATATGCTGCAAATTTACTAAAATTTGATAATAAGAGCGACAGTAAACAAACATATGTCGTTTTACTGCCAGTGTTTGTCTGCAATTTCTAATGCAAATATTGGCAAAAACAGGAAGTGAAACAGTATAGTACGGAGTTTACAGATCACAATAATTCGGAATTGGAGAAAAGGAATGACAGAATCGGGAAGTACCTAATTAACCTTGCAAACAAAGAATGACGAACAAAGTTGGTGGGAAATACAAATATGTTTTGAATGAAAGCGACTATTTGAATATGAATAAATGATGTGATGAACTTCTTGCTGAAAAGTTTTGAATGAAAGGAATCATTTGAATATGATGATGCGAAAAGAAAGGAAGAAATATCAGTTTGGAATGTGAAAGGCTAGACTTAGACTTAAGCTTAAATAAGACGAGGTGGGACAGATTGATATGCCCACTCCAAATTCGATTCAGCTCCTCATTCTATTCGGACAACAACTAAAGAGACGAGAGAAGGAAGTGCATTCATTGTCAGCTGACAGCAATAATATTTCGGTTGTGATCACAACATACCGCCCATTTCGAATTGAAGGGAAAAATGGGCCATCCTTCCTGGAAATAAATCACGCTGAGAGTGCAATAACAGGTTGGTGACAATTATGGGAATAATGTCTCGTGATGATTATACTGATAATGATGCTTACCATCATTACGTATAAAAGTTGATCGGAGGATAGACAAGAGGGACAACGTCAAAAGCACATTTGTCCAACTTGACCTTTGTGTGGGAAGGGGGCAGTTAATCAGTTTCCTTAGGTCTCTTTATGAAGGCACAATGAAACTGTCACTCTGATTACTGTTAAGTAATCAAATGCGGACAGTTATAATCGATTTTAGCAAAAGTTAAACCATTGTTATAGAATAACAGTTTGTTAATGTGATCGTTCGTTAATCGTTCATCAGAAAATTATTTTGTTGGTTGCTTCTTAATGCTTTCTTTCTATACATCTATTAAACGAAGACATTCGAAAACACATATAAATAGCTCTCGAATTCCCATGAATTATGCATTTCATCGCAGTAGTAGTCTAATCAACGGGTTCAAGTGAATGCTTAAAAGACCGGCACTCTTCCTAGAATACTAAGATAATGAATGGGCAGGCTATAGGAATTAGCCAACTTACTTATCGTCATCATCATCATCTTATTTCATTCATATAGGATAGACAATGTCTCCGGAAATGTAAGTGGAAGGTGACATCCATTCTGTATGGTTTTTATTTTAATTTCTGTACCACATGCAATACGTTACGCGTCCGATGTCACACACCACGTCATTCCGAATTACAAGCCAATGAATAAGCCCAACTTACTATTGCATGAATAAACAGAAAAGTGGAATGTGGCAAGCGATAAGTCACTCAAAGTGCAGCGTGTAGGCGTTGAAACGTGATGTTGCGGGAAGCAAAAAGTATACAACACAGATGCGTCGTCAGTCACAACGCACAGATATAAAAAATGCATGCTTGAGATCGAAGTGAAGCACACGTGTGTCACTTTTAGCGGACTGCTTCTTCTCGCCACCACTGTTATTCGAACAGCATGCTGACGAATGAAGTGCAGCTGATCGATCACGCAGCGTGCACTCGTTACACAATTTATGCATTTCAGTCTGACAATATGAGACCACATGACACTCACTGCCGATCGGCGGTCGCATCAATCAGTAGGGAGTATTGCTTTTGCGCACAACTTACCTCATTCAATTGTTCTAGAAATTTAGGAAATAGCTCCCTTAAATCGTTTATTGAAAATATCAATAAGATGAGTAAATGTTATTGTTAAATTACTTTATTGTCGAATTTGAACATCTAAGCAAATTGGATGGGACATCTCTTCTATAAGAGTTATCATTTCATGAAATAGTACTCCCTTCTCATTAAGAACTAAATACGTCAAGAGAGAAGAATGAAAAGTAAAGAAGTAATAATGTTTGAAATTTTGATGTTCATGAAAGACTACAATTGATTATAATTTATTAGGGTTAATGGATTGCTACTCGCAATATTTAAATGAAATCCCTCAAATAAGATCAACAAAAATGGCGGGCGAGTTCGAAAAAGAGAAAAACTGTCACTTTTGTTGTGAAGACTGTAGTGAAAAAGTTTGAAAAGATGTTTTCTCATTTTTGACTTTTTCCCTGAAAATTTAATTTTGTTTAGCTTTGTTTTTTTAAAGAATTTGTTTCTTATTATTTACACTCTGTTGCTGCAATAAGGCACAAACTTATGAGAATTATATGGGCTTTGAGGTAAGATTATCATTGATTTGTTAAACTTGCCAAATGAATACGATACAACAATGAAATGAATGTGTTTCTTAAATTCAATAACACGAAATTTTTGGGTAGAGTAATGAAGTGTTAACCATGAAAGCTAAGTGGAAAAGAATTACCCGAAAATTTGTTCCGAATATTGTACAAATAGTTCGTATAAATGACATATTCGAATATGAAGACTAACCGAACTAACACTTGAAATTGCAGGTGTCCGACATATGTAGACACTTCATTTAATGACTTATCTCGAAAAAAGTACTGCGAACTTGCACAAAAATCCTGCCCACTCAGCACATGACACCTGATAACTTTAGCTTCCAGTCCCAGTATTTCTTCCTCTTCGTTTAAACCGAAATGCTTAGAAAAAGCTTAAATGAACTGCAAAATACTCAAAGAGCCCAAATAAAAATAATTGAATGTGAAGAACGTATCCACAATCAATTTTGTTGATTGTATGATTTCAATGGACAGAATCAGAAGATATGCAGCCAGAATTAGTTTAGTTACCAGATGTTCATCGAAGTCACTTAGTCACCATGAACCGTACAGAAATGGCTTTTAGTCAGATTAACTTCGTCATTTTAATGCTTTCATTGTGAGAGTTTACACTTTTCGAAAATTCTTAGGATTTCTTTCATTCTTATGTTTCTTTTTTCTTTATTTTCTCATTTTTCTCCTTTATTCTACACTAATCCCAGTTGAACTTCAATTTTCTAAATGAGCCAATAGCGTCTTCATCTTTTTGAACATAACTTCGACATTTTCGTACAGTTTTTGTTCTGGTTTCTTTTTTTTTTTTTTTTTTGGGCGGGGAGAGGGAAGTATTTCACAACATTATAATATCGTCATTATATTATGAAACTTCGGAATGTTAGTCGTTCAAGAAATCCAATGCCAACTACTGCACATACAAATCACGCGGACAGTGATATCTCAATTTAAAGAAGCTATTTTCAAATTGAAGAAACACTGTATCTTTCATAAAAACTTTATCAAAGCAGTAGTAAAAAATGTTTCTTGATTTGAAATTTAAAAGTAATAAATTCATTCTTAATCAACTGCTACTTTACAGTTCTTTCTGCATATGTTTGTGTTGAGTAACAAAGTCAACTAGATATAAAAATAAGATTTCTTGATATTGTATTAAATGCATCAAATGCAATAATCGTTGCATAAATATCATTAGAAGCACAAACTTCAACAAATGAATAAAAACATACGAGCATAGCAGAGATAAATAAACCAAAATCAGAGTAATCTATAATTGATCCCGAACATGTGCAACCTCAGCTCTTTCACTTTCTTCACATTCAAACATATCATGTTTCCATACTTCATCAGCTGGATTTCTTTCAGGGTGCTTTTTATGATAGGAACCATGAATGTCATCGTGAAGAACATCATCGCCCCTACGCGCCTTAATTCATGATCATTATCAAATATGCATGATGATCTAGTCATGACTATAGCTATCTATAAATCATTTCTCCGTTTTTTACCAACTCTGGAATTTTCTTCTATGATAACACACAATAAGATTTTCATTAAACAGGGGAAATAGACGATATAACAGAAAATATTTATTTCAAGTATCTCAAAAGATGCTATTACTAATATTCTCGATATATAAAGACGCGATTACTAATACACTCGAGAAATGTTCGAAAAATGTACAGGTCTTACGAGTACTATTTTGAACCAAGAATGGTGACAGAATGACTACAGATAAAACAGATTTCCGGTTCTTATGCCAATTAATTATATATAACATACAGTAACTGAAATCACAATATGCAAATTTAGCTGATAACTATAGTGATAAAAGCAAATTATCTTCTACTAGAAGCAATAGGACAATGCTTACTACCTTTCAGACGGCTGAAATTATAAATGAAATGATAAAATGAAAAGTTTGCGGAAGAGAAATCAGTCACGATAACTTTATTATTGGGAAGCATGATATATTGCATTTAGCAGAAGAGGACCCTATCTTAAATTTGTTCAGTAGTCTATGCGAAAGTCCTCATATTCAAAAGCTCAAAACTCCCACACATGCAACATAACATGAAGTAGAGTTAAGTCAAAATTCAAGACATCAGAAAAAAATTTCTTAATATAACAGATATCACAATTTAAGATGTGTCACCGATCCAATCGTGCGGTCGGTAAACATACAGTAGAGAAAATATCTCAGTCACCATAAAATCAAAAAAAAAAAAAAAAAATAATTATATAATTAAGAACAACATATTTTGCATTTGAAATAGCATGAAATTGTATTTGATGAATTAAAAGAGAAAAATCTTGTTGTAAACCGGGATAAATTTATAAAAAATACCTTTCGAACATTGCGCCAACCAACTGGTAGCGATTGCCAACCACTATCAGTAGAAGCCGAGTATCTTGACCGAGATATGCGCACTGATTTTGTAGCTCGATCATCATGCTTTAAAATCAGAATGAATGCAACAGACAATCTCCAGGAGGATAATGAAGAAATATTAGAACAGAACTAAATTTGAAGAAGCGTTATTTGGTGGGCTATCTTATTTGTACTTCCCAGTTTGATAAAGTGAGACAGATATCTTAGTAACACTGCATTACATCAACCGATGTCACACGAAAGATATATATATACTCTCTGAAGTTCACCAATATTTACCACTACATAATATGTAGCTCATTTAGAAATACTGGCAGCCTTTGTGTGGGAAGGATTACCGTAAAATAAGAGCGTCCTGTAGGAACTTTACACGGATCGAACAGATTCATCACCGGCTTCTCTTCATCGTTTGTTGATTTGTTCTGCTCATTCCCTCGCTGATATGACTGACGACTATTACGCCCTGCAAAAATATCTTGTCAAATAATCTTGTGGAAGACTTTCTAACTGAATAACAAATATATTGCTTAAAAAGGATAAGGAAACATATTTAATATCCAAATATCTTAATCACTAATACCAATGATTTATTGCTGTCGCGTAGCGAATACATAAGTGTGCGTAAGCAATATTTATTTTCTCGTTTTTAAGCAAGCGTTGTTCTTTCTCAAACGTTCCATTTATTGCCTGAAAGTGAAACCAGTTTAATATTCGTTATCTTAATGGTTCTTATTATAGACGATATAAAGTCTTATTATCTTTAAAAAATTTCTTTAAATCCGTAACAAAATTAAGACTTTATTTTAAATCACCTAATTGCAGTTAGCGGAAATTCCCTCTCCAATGCTAGTCGGAATTCAGTTTGGCTTAGGCTCAGTTACCAATCATTTCTTTGTTGCTTTTGTCAGAAATATCAGCTTAGCGACCACAGTTTTTGTTCTTTTTGCTCAAACACTTATCCATCCCATAATATCCCACTTAGCAATCTAGTTTCTGCAATAATTCCAACGCTAGAACATTCTAGATTCTCTCATATAGCTTTTAGCTGTTCAAGCATTCTTTAGGTCGCTTTGACGGTTGCTATTTATTGTCGATCATCTCTCATGATAGAATTTAAGTTATTATAAAGGAGCTTTTAGACAGTGATGATTTTCCAAAATTTTCAATGAAAATTCTTCTTATAAACTCATAGCTTTCTCAGTCAATATCGTAGTCTCTAACGGTTGTAAGATATTTCCTTTAAAACAACAAAACAGGTAATTCAGTTTTCGAATATCTGTTGAATGCATTACGACAAAGCTATTCTAGAATTCTTTTCACGTGTTAGCAGTGGTAATCAAAATGTACTGTTGTCTGACAAGCATTATTGATGGTCATTCATATACATGGTTAGGATTACAGTAGCTTCTCCTTTGCACAGTTACCTACTTTTTTGCGTGAAAAATGTATCGTGTGGGACAGACGTGTTGCATTACGACCCAGCTATCTTATGACACTGAATGTCAGATTGAAGCCGACATGTGTTAGCTTAGGTATGGGGTCGAAGAGTCGGTCTTTAGGCGCGGGCAGAATCGAGAAATCGGGGCGGCCGTTGGAGGACAGTTCCGGTAGCCGGCAGGACAGAATCCGTCACAGGAAGAGCAACAACACTCCGAAGAAGGCTGTTACCGGTTATTCCTCTAAAGTTGTGTCCTCTAAGAGGATAGTCCACCGCTCGTCGCCGTTACGAAAATCAAAACCATTACCGGTCAACGAACTTGATATATTGACATTAAGTCAAAAAGAACAGCAATCTAAGTCAGGTTAGATATTAATTCACAGATCATGCTTTCTAATATCTTTCTGTGCAATTTCTGGAGACTCTTTGTTTGTGCATGTATGTTTGAAATAAAGAGAATCAGGACTAACGCATAAAAGATTAAAAACTGCATCTTTATCATTATATTTCAACACATAAGGTTTGATGATATTTTTATATATTAGAATGCCAAAGCTGTCC